TTCACGGGGATTCGTCACATAACCAAATCGTGGATCTTCCTGAAAATGAAAAAATGCGTAAAAACTTTATTCCAAGCATGTTTGGAGGGCAGATGACATACATCTTCGTCTGGTTTGAAAGCCGACATCACACCCAGATCCTGGAGCGACAACATCGTTTTAGTTCTCAAAGTATGAAAACATCAGGTAAACAGACTCACCGGATCGAACGCTACGCTCTTAGTCTTATCGACAGGTGAAGTGGCCTGAAAGTGCACAAATTTGACCAAAAGAAATGATGGCGCTATTACAGGATGCATTCCAGAGAGTTCCAAAGCAAATAGGGCAGCGTTCAGACTTTGCGATGACGAGTGTCGACGCGCTGTAACGCGCTACACTTGCAACAGTGCTGCAGACGTGAATGCAGCCGCAGATGGGACCCTATCGGTGTCACGGCCGCCTCCTTAGCGGCTACTGCCGATAGAACAGACAGCGTGATTGGGCAGAGTGTACCCTCCAGTTACCCCATACTCTCTCGATGCATAAGCAGCACCGATTGAATCCTATTTGGGGCTGCGTTCGCGTCCAAAGGGTTGCAGCACTGTGGCGCTTTACAGCGCGTCGACGCGCGTCATAGTCTAGTCTGAACGCCGCCCCACGGTAACGAGTATCCCCTTACCCTCTTTTAGATGGAGATGCCAACCATCTCGGATTTCCGCCTTTCAAGGATTTCCTCCTGCAGAACACTCACTCTCGCATTCCAAAAGCACGTGCCGCGGCCAATAGGTAAGGATTTATGAGGGAACATTCCAACCAAAACACGGGGAGGTTGGAAAGCGAAGCGTAATTTGCCCTGCGTTTCGCACGCGCACAAGTCAGGGAGACGGGCAAGACAATCGCATACGTCGCACTAGTCGCGCGCGGGTATCGTGCGGCGATTTGCGGCGAATTTCCATCAGCTTATCGATTAGAGCAGAGCGAAACTCACGATGAGCTATATCGAGTTCTCCCAGCCCTTCAACCTTCAACTTCAAATGGCCAGGCAGGACAACTTCCGTCCGTCGGGCGTGTCGTCGCTCGCACCGCCCTCCGGTGCGATACATTACGATTTTTTGTGTGGCATACCCCTCCCCCTCCCAGTCATAGGAGTGGGAGCGATCCCGAAGCCCCTTCACTATGAAGTGCAATAGGTCACACATAATATCTGTGCCCCCGTACCGTGCCTTACAATGAAGTCTTACCCTTCTTGACTTCGAATGAGCGCGATTTTTCCTTGTACGAATAAAAATAATCACGATGTGTGCAATACCAAGGAGAACATCAAGAATGGTAACAACGGTTACAGTGATTATAAGAGCCGCACCAACTCCTGAAACAATGTTAAGGTTTCATAGAACTAATTTTGGCACAGCTCGGCTTGGTGGGGGCACCAAATGGTGCTCAGCGGATTGGACAGGTCACCTTGTTAAGACCTGCAATTTCTTGTAACCAATGTGGCTTACCTGCTCCCTTCCGCAGCTACACAAGAGTCCATAGGTTTTACCAAAATGGGACCTATCAGTTAGCATGAGCCGGCAGAAGTGCAAAATGCCCCTCTCATGCCAAACACGGCCCTATTTCTGTGCCATCTACTCTCATTGTCTTTTCTCGGCTCCACAATCGATCCGACAGGTACAGTGGAGCACGCTGAAGGAAGCAATGGACTAGGCAGTTGTGCTTGCCTCAAGGACAACATTCGACCACACCTAACCCTGGCCACCCGCCAATTTTTAGAAAGAGTTTGGTTGAGATTGCACCCTGTCACGAAGAACGGACTTGGCAAAATCAGATTACCACTTCATCTGTTCTCTGTGACACATTTTGAGCGGGAAATAGTGCGGTTTTCTTGAGCACTGCTAACATTACAACAGCAGTCTCAGGGGGTGTAATCCATAATCCGGCTCCGGTCCGGTAAGGGCGCTGGTTCGAGTCCCGACTAAGGTCTGATTTTTATGGGAAAGTCAACATTCCTGTGAAACCCTTTGGAGCGGGGAGGGGGAGGTGAGAGAGCGATTTACTAGTCGCTTTTGATTAGGGATTCTTCGAGAAAAAATTTTCACTTGCTGACTTTTCACAGTGTTTCCCCGTCATGATAGAGACCGTGTAGAAGGAATGTATGTGAGGAAATCCGTAAAATTTTCGGAGAATTCCGAAAGAAGTAATAGGACGTTGGAAAACCTCAGAGAGACGGTAGGTAGTATGGAGAATGGAGTGTACTAGAAGAGGAAGTTCGTGGAGGGGGGGGGGATGGTATCGCATCTTGCAAAAAAAAATTTTCCAGAAGGTTGAATGTATACTCTAATCGCTGCGGACGAGGGGGCGTGTCAGGTAGTATGAGTGTGCCACGCGCTAAACCCGTTCTCTGCCAGTTGCTGAAGCGGGTATGCGACAGGAACTGGTAGAAAACGAGTGATATGGCCGATATGATGCATATGATATGCCGATATGATAATGGGCCTGGCCATCAGCAGAACGAGCTCGCAGCCAGTTGCTGACGACTGTGTCTTCATATCTGCCATCGGCCTGTGATCCGAGGGGCCAGTCAGCTAAAAGCCACCCCACGGGGAGTCAGTTTAGCGGTGGTCTCAAGCAAAAACCGGCCGTACATTCAAGGTGAGTCGTTTGTGGTTGTGACCTATGACAGGTTTCTGGATCCTTCTGGTCTGGGACTAGCTTATCTGAGGTTTGAAATGATTTCGAGGGTAGTTTCACTTTGATTTTTGACTTTTTTCAGTGACGAAAGGCGAATAAAGGCCGAAACGTTAGTAAATTTTTCTGATCGACCCTCGTTCTCTTTTCCAATCCAGAATAAAAATAGTTTTTCTAGACCCCTTAGGTGTTTCTGCAGTGGAATACCAGCAGGTTTTATAGCATTCTTTCGGCTGTTCGCGCGACGGGGGGCATTTTGCCCTTCCGCTACTTCTCATCGACGTGTCGACCTATCTAGGCAGCCTCTTCTCGGGATGACATTCGCCAGAGTGAGACTTGTAAACCGGAATTAGGGAAGCGATGATAGTGCAAAATGCCCCCCCCCGTCGTCGAACTGCGCCGCATTCTTCCATACAGCTGCGCCTCGTGAATACAAAGTATGACTTATGGACCAGAATTTTCTTCTCATGCATTCACCACACAACATTTTGATAGCATATCTGCTACCGAATCGCACAACGTCATTTGTGACCATACAATGATTTTTGGGATGAGTCACCGCTTACACAGCCTTGATCCGTGTTTTCTTTGAATTGATTCATGCTATATTGTATTCAGAGTAGCAACCCATAGCTCGGTGCGCCCTTCAATCGTCTCAAGTTTCTGTTTTTCTGCGACGCGCTATCTCGTCTGCATTGATGTTATACGTCACTGTGACCTCGGAGATCTCGCAACTTTTACGCATTGAGAAGAGCTCACACCCCTCCCGAGTCCGGCCCATTGAAAAGCCATCCCTAGCTCGTCTGGCTTGCTTTTTTGGTGCTTTGAGATGATTTGACAGCATCTGACCTCTATCACCACGACTACAAGAGTCGAAAACTACATATGAACGCGCCTCGCTAATAACATGAACTCGTAAGCCCACCTGAACATCCTGAACGAGAGTATGGAATGAACGGTGGGACTTTCTTTGATGCTCACATCCAACAATCCATTATCAACGTTACGCATGACGGAGTTTATTTCATGGCACGAAATAAGAGATACGGTCTCGTTGCCATGCGCACCGAATAAGAGATACGTCTTGTTCCCGTGCGGGCGGTGGGGCGTTTCAAGGGTGGCAAGCGCAGGGCCAGCTTTCCACCAACCGTTGTTGCCTGCCAGTTTCCGCGAGAAAAGGGCTGGCATCGCGCCAAATCCATCCTTTCCCTAGAAAAACCCCTGCAGGGAAGAAGGCTGTACGAACAATTCGGTGTCAGCCAACACCCTGGAAAATGGCTGAGTGGGAGTCAACTTACCACGGACGCGGTGGTGATCAGCGCCAGTCTCTAGCGCCGTATGGCCCCTAGTCTATGATCCTTGGAGAGTACTCGTTCACCCCATCGTTCAATTTCCCTAGGCATGATTCTACTGATAACTGTGTGGATAACTGTGCACATCTGGGAGCAACAAGGGGCGTGGCTGCCAGAGTGAGGAGGGTCCAGACGAAAAAGAAACAGTGATACACGGCCACTGTAAGTCAGATCAAGTAACGAGACCTTTGCTTTTTTTTTTTGAAATTTTGACTCGAGTTCTGAAGCTGGCCAGAATGTTTCTCCTCGGACGGGCACACCACATACGGTCAAGCACATCCCACACAGAGGGTCGAAAAGGTCGTATTCTGGCCACTTCCTGACTGGGAGAGGGGAGGGAAGAAATTACTGAGAGAAGAGGGTTTCCGGGTTGATTTTCCTGTTCTCGTCCTTCCCCCCGACACCATCAACGGCAAAAAAAGAAAACGAGAAAAAAGGCGGATTCGTTGAAAAAAGTCCAGGAAAGCGGCTAAAGCGGTGGGAAGTTGGGAAAGGTTAGGAAGATGGTAGGTAGGATATGGGGAAGGGGGGTGGAGGCTGTGTCTGAGGTTGTCTCTAACGGTTGAACGTGCCCTGGTTGGTGTTGAAGCTGTTGTGTAGAGGGGAGAACACTCGACCGTGCCTCTTATCCTTCTGAGCAAGGTTGGCCTAGGGCGCAGACGACCAGAGTCACGGAAATAGAGGAGAGAGCTCGTGGTTTCTGCTATGGTGTCTTCGGTGGGATAGAAGCGGACGCGAAGCGTGATAAGGGCACTTCCTTTCCTATCTCCCCCCGCCCCGTCTTCCAACCTTTCCCCTTATAGTTACGTCAGCACCTGGATAAGAGTGCAAAGGAGTCAGCAAAAGTGATTTCGATTGTGGAAACAACAGGAACTATTGTTTTCAAATATTTATTCGATTGATCTTTCATTAGGATACCAGCACATCACAATCATTCATTCTCGCCAGAGAGATATCGACCTCGCCACAGACACGTCCACTTTAACATTTCTCCTTGTCTACTGCAGAAATGATGTCCAAGGTCACGTACGTCATATCGTAGACGCCATTAATCTTTGACTTTGGAATCTCGTATTCAGAGATACGCTTGCAACCCTGAAACAAGTCACGCAACGTTCTGACAGGCAATGATTCATGAGAGGCATATAACGATCGGCTTATTACAGCAGATGACAAAGCAGTAACGTTGGAACAAGCTGTGGTATGTTGTTGTAATGCATGGCCCTGAATCACGTAACTTATCGCAACATACCTGTTTTTTGACGTTACATGTGTGGGTGATTCTGAGGAACGGTTCAATACCGCCGACTTCGTCCTCCTCGCCTTTGACAAGGAATTCACCATCCTTTCCGGTTTTCATTGAGTGAAGCAAATCGTTGGGGTCAACTAAAAGAATACCTTGGAAACACAATACAAAATGCACTGAACAGCACAATTCTTGGCGATAAGGGCACGTCGTTCGTACGCTGGAGATAAAGAACGAGGGAGGAGGGGGTCGTATTCGCATTTGCTAGAGGGGATGCCTCGTACCTTCAAGAAAAAGTGCTATGTCCCCCAGCCCGTCCCTCCTTTTCCCTCTACGGCAGTTTCAAAGCAGAGTTTTCAAGAAAAGCTCTGGGAAAGCGGTTGAAAGTTGAAAAAATTGAGCAAGATGGTAAACAGGTAAGATGGGAAGAGAGGAGGGACGTACCACAGTGGAATTTCGATGGGGTCGTATTTCGCAAAAATTTTCCCCAATGCCAAGACGTGCCATGCCGATCCCCCAGAGGTCTTTGAAGGAGTTTTTAAGCAAAGATGAGACCACTGTTAGACCAATTCCCTTTAAGCCAGTTAGCACATCTAGCCCAGAGCTCCCTCACTCCATAGGCTTTCACTGCGAAACGAAATGATTTCTTTTCGATAGTTACTTGAGTTTTCTGGATTATTTTCCTCCAATGAGGCGCTTATCCGCATCTGCTTCACATAGCACTACGTTTGCACAGGGAATCCTTCGAATGCCCCATTCCAAACCAGAATCTGTGGCACTGCGACAGCAAATTAAAATGTGCAACAGTTGCTGACTCATTCGGAGATGCCGATGTTCCCAAGAGTTGCCGAGGCGCCAGCGATTCAGCAAGTTTCTCATTGAGACCCTCTCTCCAAGAACATTTGGATGCTTTCTGTATTCCTTCGTGAAGGGAGGAATGGTCACACCACCTTACTTGGCCTTGAACTAAATTTCTGGTTCCCAAGCTTTCGTGCAAAAGCGGACTGGTATCCATCAGGTATTGCTTTCGTGCTTCTACGAAACGCTCCTAGCATATGAGTGTACAGAAGAACACCGATAATTACAGCCTTGATCGGTTTTTCCAGGGCTACAGATGAGTCAGGCTGATTCACCAAGGTGGCCTCTTCACTGCAGTTTTACGATGCTATGTCACTACCAGGCCCAGTCAACTTAGTTTCATTCCTCCGAGGTCATCCACTGCTAGCAGACTTATTTGCGAGGATAAAATGTGAGCTCTGTATAACATGGCTTCGGTGTGACAGGCTGGCTCTCGTAAGGACCAAAACCGAATCGCATTCCATAATCACAACAAGCCCGAACGGAAGTAGATTGAGTGATGCATCCCAAAGAGAAGCGGAGCATCACTAGAAGGCTACCCATTTATTCAGAGCAATCTCTCAAAGAAACGCGTTTTCTATCCACTGATGAAAGAACTCGTGGAGGGGTGCAGCTTTTTCAGCTGATCATTTCTTTCTGGGGTGCGCCATGCATTCTACATCTACTCACGACTACGGTAGTTCCTTGGATGCTATGTGACCTATGCATGGACTGCCGCGAGTCAGCAGGCCCAGCTCAGTGATTTTATTCCCCAGAAAGGTCTGGGACCGGCTTTCTAGCCCCGGAGGGATACAAGAAGTGAGCCAAGGTTTGAACTCTGGAGGGTGCACGTGGTAAACGATGTCAGTTGCCACCACACCGCGTCCATCCCCATCAAAGATAGTGAAAAAGTTCTGCGTTGTAAAATTAAATATTTTTCTGAATTTGAACGAACTCACGTCGATCTCTTTCCCAGAGTTCTACTGTGGCATCAGCAAGTCGTTTCTTGTTACAAACGGTGATTCCTTTCACCGTGAACACTCTGTTTCTTGGCATCGATGACGGCGACGAGCACCAGGGCGAGAAGGACAAGGACGATTCGCATCTGGAAAGCCTGAGACTGATTTCATAACGTCTCCCACTCCATATATAGGCGAATCTTATGACTCATTGTCAGCAGAATGGACTGCCATTTCCCTTGAGAGAATACATACAGCAGACCCTCATAAAAAATCAAAACAGCTTGGGAATTTTGTACAAGTAAGGAATGCTATTGTACTGTACAATGTGGGAGTGTCAAGATGTCGGTATAGAACCAAATGGGAAAATGGAAGCAATATGGCCATCATCCAGCGGTTTAAAATCGGAAGGCCAAACAAAATTTCGGGGGCAAAAAGAAATGAAATGACGCCTGGTTTGCCGGAAAAATTCCAAACGCATTACGATAAAAGTGGTAAAAACCAGGAGAAAATGACTTTAAATTACTGCAAATTGCAGTGGATCCAGTCAGACAATCAAGGACGTCATTGATTCAAATGAAATGCCACCAAAATGGTGCGGAGTACAGTTAGTGACAACAGCAAAGTGCCTCCAAATCGTAACGGTGTTTATATGCAAGGCAGAGCAGAAAATAACTGGTTTCGCAAAGGTCAAAGGGAAAGCGGGCGAAAGACAGTCGTCTGCCCCATCGTGCCTATAGTAAAGAAGTGGATGATTAACGGCAGTCGGCTGTCAATAAGTGTGAACAAGCAATGCCCCCACTGACACACAACAGGCCGTGAACTCCCACTTCCCGTAATCAAAGCGGCGTAAAGAAAGGTAGCATTGAACATGCCTCTATTCATCGGAACCGCCAGCCCGCTAAACGCCAGTTGAAGCCGTTGCAGAGAAAACAAATCAAGCCCCACCACTAGAGGCGAGCAAACCACTTCACAGAGCTATCATGCTGTCCCAAAAAAATCTTGCCTGAATTTTGTTGGAATCCAAATGTTTCCTCTCCAAATCGGGTCATGGTCGAATACATGTGACATGTTGGAAAAAGGGTGCCTTTATGACCTACCAAGCACGGAATAGCATATTATGGTGCAATAGCAAGTGGCACGCCTGAAAAGCCGTCCAGGGTTCAACTTCACGATTGGCCACCGCTCATGACAAAAAAGCTTCTCGCTAGGAACAGTAAACTAGTACGTTTTGCTCTATGAGTTTTTGTATAACGACCAGAAGATAGCGCGTTCAGCAGAAATAACTTCACAGAACTTGCGCGTTCAGCAGAAATAACTTCACAGAACTTGAGAGTTCTGCGGAGGAGGTCTGGA